TCTTGCTATTTCCTTTTTAATGGAGTTCCCGCAATACTAAAGATAGAAGATAGATTGGAAAATGTGGCATATTTGATACCTCCAATGTATACAGGCAGTGCTGACTTTATACTAAAAGCTTCATCCTGAGCACTGTAAGCAGAAGGGGACACTCTTTCTTCTGGTTTAATCAGCTTCAACTATTAAACTTCCAAACCATTATCATACCCATCGGTGCTACCACTTGTTTTCTCTGAAGAAGCATAAAAATGAATTAAACAGATGACCAGCCCCTGAGATGCTGCTGCCCATCTCAGCCCACTTTCTGCAGATATTTTCATAGGACAGGGGATTCCCTTATATGAAACGGATGATTGAAATGTGCTCTGCGTGGCGCTGCCCTTGGTTTTCAAACACCTGGAAACAGCTGCTGCTCTCAAATGTGGCAGTGTGGTCATAAGAAAGAATAATGGTAATTCTATTTCTCATAGGTCCAAGGTATGACCATGTAACACCATTGCTTCATGAGCTGCAACCGTTACCAGTTGGCTATAACCTTTGACATACAACCTACAACTTTCACGCCACGCAGCCTGATTATTTGAGGGACTGTCTATCTCCTATAATTTTCTTTCTTCCATAAAATCTGACAGAGAACATAGTAGAACTCCTGATTATCATCCCTCAGAGATCCATTTTGCTCTCACCCTGATGATGGTCCAGAAGGTTCTGAAAAATTGGCCATTTTCCCAGGCCTGGGAGTCGAGTGGCTGGTGAGCCCTGGAACGTCTTGTTCTGTTTCTATGGTTTTTCTTGTTTCTGAAGGCATATCTCTTTGATCTCTCTTTCTCTCTCTCTCTCTTTAATTAAATGCTTATGAATGTCCTGCAACATGTGTGACTGAAATATGCTAATTTAAGATAAACCTACAATATGTGTCTGTGGTGATGGTGGCAGCGTCCTCTTTAATAGTAAAACATTCTAGTAAAACCACCAGAAATGACACAACTGATAATTAATTTATATCTATTGATATAAATAGGCTTGGTAGCCTATCTAGTAGGCTACCAAGAAATAAGATTTGCTATGTCAATTATTTTCTTGTTACCATTTGTTCAGGCATCTTTTGCTGTGACACACACAATGCATTTTCATTTTCTATGGGAATCCAACTGCCAGTAGCAGTTAGACTTATATACCGCTTCATAGGGCTTTCAGCCCTCTCTAAGCGGTTTACAGAGTCAGCATATATTNTATATTTCTTATTTAACTCTTTCACTTGTTTGCATCTCTTCAATTTCCTATTTCTCTTTTGATTCATTTTTCCCTTCCCTTTTTCTCTTATCTGTAAGTTCAGAAAATAGTGCAGTAATATAACAAAAGTCACAGCAATAGTTGTAACAGTAATAGTAAAGACTGTGGCTATATCAGTATATTTTATCTCTACAGTATATTAAATAATCCCAATTCCCTACTCTGTCTCAACACCAAACACACCACCTTAGAAGTAGAGTCTGTATTGAGAGATTTTGATGGTTCCTACATCTTGTTAACAAGCATGATGCTCTACATTACTATTGTCAAAATAACCAGACACATATTTCATATAAACACTAATCTTAAGTGTACAAATGCACAGCAAATAAGTAGTTTTAACCAAGCCCTGTTATTATTATTTTTTTAAAAATACATTTAAACATCATTTACCTTCTTCAACATTTCATGGTTCTACAAAGATTCAGGAAGGCCAGCAAGAAAAGGGTGGGAGGAGAGATATGAACACAATGCAACAGCGCAGAATCATATAAAAACTAAGCTGTTAAAATAATAAGGGAAATGTTTGACTATTTAATTATTGTTTTTCCAAAAGTAGGAAGGAATTGTGATTATTAGGAAAAGCAGTGAGCTTTCTAGCAAGACATCATCACGGAAAGAAAAATCTGCTCATCTCTACTGAAACTAGATGACTGAACTCACTCTCAAGGAAGAGTTAATGTAATCTTTGTTTCAAAGAAATCCTTCAAAATTTTGAAATTTCTGAAATCAAACCATCAAGAGAAGTCCGTAACAGTAATTGGACCTGGACATGAATTTTCATTGAGCAAGTTCTGATTAAAATGATGGGTTAAGGAAAAGGTTAATAGCACAAGAATTCCAAAGGTACTTTTGCTTCCAAATGGGAATGATATAGAAATAGAGATAGGTACATAGAGATAGAGAGAAAATATGCAATTAGATATGCAATTCAAAACTGTTTCTTTGGCTTGTTTTTGCCTAAATTTATGCAGAAATGACAAGAAGCAAGAAACTGTTCTCTGGAGAAGTACTGTATATTGAATGCCCATCCCAAAACAGGCCTTCCCTTCCCTCTGCCAGCAGTGTGGAGCTTGAACTTATGAAAACATTGCTTCGCTCTCCCAAATCCCCAACTTTATCCTCATCTTCTCAATTTATGTTTCAGCACCTATAGTTTCATCTTCAGTTATTTACAAGTGGCAATGGTTCAATAGCAACTTTAAGCCATATGCTGTTATACTGTTCTCTATATAAGGACTCTAGGCACATCCTTATATATTCTGTCATTAAGAAATTTTCAGGTAGAGCAGTGGTCCCCAATCTTTCCACCTTGGCGGCCCAGCCTGGCGCGGGGAGGTGTGAGTGGCAGCACGCATGTGCACACAGCTCCATTGATGTGAGTGGTGGGTTCACATGCCCTCCACTTGCACAAATGGAGCTTTGCACATGAGCTGAGGGTGCTTGCGCTCATGCTCAAAGCTCCATTCACACGAATGGAGGGAGGTTGAGTGGAGGTTACTTGTGTTATCTCACGAAGGGCGCTCTTGTGCGAAGTTCCATTTGCATGAATGGAACTTCATGTAGAAGCACAAGCACCCTTCACTCAAGCACCCTCTGATTGTGCAAGTGGAGCTTTGTGTGCAAACGCAGGTGCCATCTACTCAAGTGTGATGGTCCATTCACATGAGTGGGGGATATGTGCACCCTTATCAATAGAGTTGTGCACACACGCATGCACCTGCCACTCACACACACACATGCACGGGCTGAGCCCTCAAGTTGGAAAGATTGGGGACCTTTCCACTGCTATTCTATCTGGAAATTTCTCAATGAAAATTTTGAAAAACAAACTTTTACAAGTTTGTACAAATTTGTTTGGTGGCGCAATACTGGAAGAAGGAAGATTTGCCTACTATTCAAGAATGGACATTGAAAGTAAAAAACTTAGCTGAGATGGCTAAAATATCTGCATATCTCAAGGACCATTTAAATGAGAGATACAAACTGGAGTGGAAAAGATGGATTGATTATTGTTGTGACTCAGCA